AACTGAGGTTTCATGATGCTTCTCGGCAAAAATCAATAGCCACAGCTAAGTAACGAGAGTCCAGACCGTTCAGTGATGGCATCCTTTGACCAACTGAGATTTTTAACCCCCTTTCCTTGCAATGTGCCGTCGTGAGCTTGAGCCAAAGTAAAGGCAAGTACCGAAACTCGTCTTTGATTATTCATTTCTTGCTGTCCCTATTTTCCTTTGTAGTTTGCGTGCATTTGGAATTTGATGCCTAATTGCATGATCTTTACTACATTAGCTACCCGCAAAGTTATCCTTGTCGCCTATTGGTGTTCACTGCTCATTGATGCGTTTGAAGCTGCTGGAGTACGCGCACCGTATGTATTAATAGCGCCACTTCCCTACACTAATAGCCTGTATAGGACTTTTGCTGAAGCTGTCCAAATACATAGATGTTTATGGCTAGTCTGAGAAAGGATTTTCGATGACTGAAAATAGGAATAGCACGAGTAAATCCGATTTAAGAGTATTTAGGCATTAAATGAAGTTTAACTTTTCTTCTATTTTATACTGTATCTTTTACAAAAATAGTCAGTAATCATTCGTAATTATTGTTTTTGTGCAATTGGTGGTTTTTCTTGTGCAATTTTTTCATAATTGTTGTGTTTTAGTGCAATTATGATAAAAACCGTAAAGCAATGCGTGAGGCAGATGGTGGCAAAATGAAGTTGGATTCAAGTCGCAAACTGATTCTGTTCCGAAGTACATTTGATGAAGTTTTTCGGGACCTGGAGAATGATCTCAAGACGCAGTTACCAGATCTCGTTTTTTCTGGCATCTCATCAAAGTCAGGAAAAAATTGATTTTGACTTTTAATGCAATACTGTTTGCATAATATGGGGTGTAATCCAATGATCTATCAGTGGATGAATTAAGCTGTAGTTGCTTATCGTCTAGCTTAGTGGTTAATTGTAGTTCATCATTTCTCTTATTAGCTGCTGCATATCAATCCGATAAGTAATTTTTAATGGTTTGTAGCCCGTCTAATCAGTAACGCTTTATCAGTTAAGTAACCAATTTAAGCTTCTGACTGATAGTCATTTATCGCTCATTTAACCAGTCACTGATCAACAGCTGATAATTATTAGTCCCAAAGAAACAAAATTTTAAATCACTCCATGATTTTTTTTTTTGCGCATAGAAATGAATCACTATGCAGTACTTCCTTTCAATTTTTCCATTTATTCATTTTGTTTGTATTTATTATATGAAATTGATCTTATCTGACTTGTGTTTTTGGTCTGGTTCAAGGCAACTGATGCAGACGATTTTTTTAGGGTTTTTACGATATTTTGGGTGCTATCAATGTACGACATCTACGTCCCAAAAGCAACGTACGAGCGGGAATTGCAGCGTGTTCGAAAATCCCTAGCCTCTCTTACTGAAAATGCAGATATGGTAAGTTGAATGAGAAGCAGTCTCATTTCTATGCATTTCTTGCACAAAACGCATATTATCATAAGGAAGAATCCCCTGATTTTTTATATGTTAGAAAAACTGACGTATTTGTTTCGTTGAAGAGTAAAACGAGAAAAGCGAAAGAAGAAGAGCAGCTACGTGTTGTGGAGAAGAAACTAAGCGACGAACTGAGAAAGCAGAGTGACCACGTGGAACGCATTCTGAGCATACTTCGACATGATAAGGAGCTTCTTTTCGCCGACTGCAGTCCCAGTAAGTAGCTCATTTATGGCATTGACTGGACTGGACAATAGACGGAAGCCCCAGGCATATCTCCAGAACTTAATTTGCAGAAATGATTAAATAGTTAAAGCACTCCACATTTTCGTCTTTACAGGAGAAGGTGGTGACTCTGTAGAGGGATTCAAGTGATGGCACTCTCTCAAGTACACCCATTCGCTTTTGAGACTCTTCGCAGCAGTCCTTGAGATGGGTCGATGAAAAACAGAATGGAGGGAATTATGGCTCCAAAACATGTTTTAGTACCAATTCAACATCAAAACAAATTGTAATAGGAATAAATTTTTCTCATAAGTAAGTTTGAACCATTAGTTTCGGAGTTCGAAGAGTTCCAGTATTAATAAGGTGGAAGGCAGTACGGGCCTTAAAGGCCCTGTAGGCAAAAGAAAAAGGCTAATAACGGGAGGGGCGGGGGGGGGGCAGGAACAATGGCTCATTCAGTGAAGGGTAAAGACCAGCAGGGGCTGCCCTACAGGGTGACTGCGAATAGCCCGTCCGTAGGACAGCGGTCATCCGGAATGCGATAACCAGTAAGTTCGTAAAAAAGGAAAAGGAAACTAAAATAAGGTCAAAAAGATTGTAGTGTTGCATATTTACAGAAACCGTGTGTCATGTGAAAAAGTCATGCAGAGAGGTGTGTGTAAAAGGAAGCATGCCTGTGTTTCATCCCTAAGCTATGAACACAAACAGCGGGAGACGTGGTTAGGGGCGGGAATCATAAGTACAGCCCCCTAACCACCGTGTTACAACGAAAGCCTACCAGCATCGTGTTGATACTTTAAGCACTGTATTAGAGCACTGCAGTAAAATCGCTAACATGGGATGTCTGCATCTATTTTCCCTGTGTTTTTGCTATTTTTGGTATTCCTATTATTTTAACCATTCTAAATTCAGAACTACGCGGTACACAAATGGCACGCTTCCTGCAGCACTGCATTTTGCCACGTGCCGTTTTCACGGATATGGATGCCGAATATTGCGCACATTTCATTCTTTTACTTCACCAACAACGTACCGGCTTCTTCCAGACTGTCTTCTTCTTTGATAAGGTTAACTTTGTTTGCATACTGAACCTACAAACGCATAGGAATTCTTTATTGCCTTCACCTTCCTGCCAGCTGCTTGCCTGTGGAAATATTATATGTAGTGGAATATCGTTTTCGAAAGCTTTGTGCCTCATTTGCATGAATGTAGCGTTGTTCTGGCATTTCAGGTGGAAATTTATTGCTTTAAGCCTGTCCTAAATATGTTATTTTTGAACCTTTTTGCTCTGTTTTGGCTAAATTATTTCTCAGTGGAGTTCTGCTAGGCCGGATTTTGCAGTCAGCTATTTTTGCTTCTCCTTAGTGGTCTCACCCGCCCCTTATATAGGCCTAATGTGATAATCTTCAAGTCATAACTAGTCATCGGCCAATCGACTTACAGTTTTTTTTCATAAATCTGATAAATCGCGATTCAAATGATTCCTTGAAATGCAATAAAAATATTGTAGGTTTAAAAAATAATACTTTTGAAGCGTTTTTATTAGGAGGAACTACAGCGATGAATTTTTTTTTTTTGCGACAAAAGTCTGTCTGATTGTCTTCCACTTTTTGATTTATTTGGAAGGTTAACGTACAAACGAGGTAGACTTGCAAATTACATGAGTATAGTAAAACTGTTTGGCCTGGAAGTAAATATACTCCTTTCCTTCGACCAGCTGAATCGTTCCACTTCGAGCCAGAGCATGCACATTCGCGCTCCTTTTCCCGCATTTTTTGAATTTTTTTTGCACCAGAATTCAGTAATTTCTAAGAATTCATTCTACAACCGATGCACACGCAAGTTCTCACGCGGTGCTGAGTAGAGATCACAAAGAGCCTCCACGTGAACGGGCTGCTGGTTGGCGCAAATTTCATAGCATTACCGACATTTATTTTCAAACTGTCTGACTGAAAACAGGAATATATCATTGTACAAAAGTCAGTGACACTCGAATGCGAAAAGCGACCATTTACGAAAGCAGCAAACTCTAGTAGTGACGGTAAGAGCAATGGAATGATGATGGGTGTCTGTTAGTGATCATGTAAGCTAAAATTAGGTTCTCCGTTAAATGAATGGTGTACAGAATGTGCAAAAAAAAAAAAAAAAATAATTGGCCAACGCACGGGCTGCCCGTGCGAAGATGCGTTTTTTGCCTAGTTCCCCGCAGTTTTTTTCGCTACCGGCATCGGTTTTTTGGCAAATCCCTCTAGCTAAACAAATCAAGACTGGCCGCCAAAACTGGCAGGAAACACCCCCTTAAAATTTCAGCTCTCTAGCTTTCTTGGCTCCTGAGTTAGCAATTTACTTGAAAAAATTTTTCACGAGCCCGCACTCGGGTACCGCGTATACTCGTTGTCTGGGTTTGAGCTCGTTGGGGACTTACTTGGACAGGAAACATTCTCCTAAAACTACAGTCTTTTAGCTTTACAGGTTCTCCAGTTATGATCCTACCCGAGAAAAACTTTGGTGAACCCGTGCGTAGGTACCACGCATATTCGTTGGCTGGGTTTGATCTCGTTGAGACCAATGTGGACGAGAAACACCCTCTTAATGTTACAGTCTTCGAGCCCCTTAGATCCCCGAGTTATGAAGTTGCGCGGGAAGATTTTGGCGGGCCCATACGCGGGTACCACGCTTACCCGAGGGTTGGGTTTGAGCTCATTAGTACCTACTTGGACGGGGAACATCCCTTTAAATTTTCAGCTTTCTAGCATTTCAGATCCCCGAGTTATGAATTTACACGGGAGAAATTTTGATTGGCCCGTACGTGGGTATTACTCTTACCCGGGTGTTGGGTTTGAGCTCGTTAGTATATACTTGGACGGGGAACATTCCCTTAAAATGTCAGCTTTCTAGCTTTTCTGGTTCGCGAGTTATCAACTTACCCTAAAAAAAATTTTGGCGGGCTCTTACGCGGGTACCACGTGGGTAGGACCGCCCATTC